CTGCAAAATATTGTACAATGCGCTCCTTTAAACAGTCTTTATCTTGCAGTTTTAGCTTTCCCCCACCCCCCTTGAAATGTAGGTGGTCACCCAAAGTAAACAGAATTCCTTCTACTCCCTCCACATCTGCTATGTGTTATCTGGCACTCACCTCTGACCCTGATATTCATCATAAGAATAAGAATTGCATCCTATTCAGCTGCTTGTGTGCACTTTAACTCCAGTGATCACTGGCTGTTGAAATAGTCTGTGCTGGGAGCAGAAATTGCTGAGACAGCATCGAGGTGTTCAAACTGGACTCTCCACTTTCTTGTGCACTTCTGGATAATTAAACAGAATTCTAGAGATAAGCAGGTCAGCACAGTATACTGGGGGCAGACCTTGGTGTAATTTCAGATTGTACTGGCCAGTGACTGCAATGAAGCAAGTTTGATACTGACTCTTTATGAGAAGGATTTTTGAATTCTAATTGCAAGCTGCTGTATCAAATGACATTATCCATCTTCATAGAGAGACAGTATCCCGTATGGAAGCAGTAAGTTTAAAAGTATGTTTCTGATGCAAACTTCCTTTCATTGAATAACACCATCCTCCGTGACCCAGTATCATTCAAGGAACTAAGTAAATTTTGGTGTGACTAAGAGTTTTAAAATCTGATCCTAAATGTGAGGATCCACATTTTAGAATGAATACAGATCTGGTCTCTGTGACCCCACCAAATGCAACCCATCTGAAATTTTTCTTTTTCACAAGGATGATCAGAATTACTTTTTGGACACTGTGGAGGAAGAAATAAAACTGCCAATTTCATTGTCAAGGGTGGATAGATTAAAACTTTGGGAAATTTATTAGCCTCCCCACCCCTTCCCAAATCCTTATGATTTTCAGAAAAAAGATTTAGGAACCAACAGTGTTGTGAAACCAGTGTGGTTAACTGGCTGCCACTACTGTCCTTTGGTGCTACAAAAGCTGCATGACTGCTTACAGATAAACAAAACCAAGACCTCCTGGTACCAACATTTTGGGGTGATCTCTGTCATCCCAGTGAAAGCTGAACTTGCATTGACATTTCTATTCAGAGGACCATCATGTGGTTTATGAGCATCTAGTAGTGCTCAGTGATACTACTGATTTCAGGATTTGAATAGATTTTTTTCCCTTTAAATTGGTTCTGCTTCTTCACTTGCCCGGTTTGTTTCCTTGAGTGTATCTGTATTTATATTTAGCAAAATTAACAAGGGATGAAATAGGTACTGAGGATGTTAATTATGTAATTATATGAGCAAAGACATACTGTGTAATGGGCAGAGAAGAAAAATGACAAAGACTTTACATGAAGAAATTAAATCCCATGTTACGTTTTTTATTAGGGTTCTGACTTTTACTGTGTTGCCAGTGGTCACTGGTGACCTCAAATGTAAGGGTGAGGAGTTTTATTTCTTGTTTGCATTTATTTAAGTATGCACATGTACATATGATATGTAGTCACATTAGTTGGTATTTTTATCAGCAGATTAAAATACGGGAGGCAGGATTCTCATGCAGGAAATCATCTGTTTGAAAAAGACTGTAAAGTGAAATGAAAAGGATTGTATGAACCTTAGTGGTATCTAAGTGGTTTCAGTTTGCGCATTGTTAAAAATCATGCAGTGTCCTTTGGTGCCCTTTTCATCTTGTTTATTTTAATAAAGAAGACCAGTTAGTCTGAAAGGTAGTTCTCTATCGGAATTGACTTCTGATCACCCTATCGCTTCACAATTCTTTATACATCAGGAACACTTGAAAGTATATGCACATGTTTGTGGGGATTTTTCTTTTCCCCAGGAGAGATTCAATTATTTATGCTAGAATTATTCTTATTGTGAGTTATTTTTATAATTGAATCAAAACTGTGTAGGCTGATACAGCCCCAAGTTACTGTTGTGATCTGAAAAATCCTCAAAATGGCTGAATAGAATAACTTTGTCACTTGTTTGTCATACCAGTTATGACAATGGGTCATTCCATAGATGTCTAAAATGATCTTTAGCCACGTTTTATGAAGCCAGAACTGTAATCCAATAACAATTTTCTGGCTAAGTGCTTCTCAGTTGCCACTGGGGACTATCTGCATCACTATTGCTGCTCTTGAAATGAGTTTAAGTTAAAAGGACACAAATTTCATATTTCTTTCCTTATTTTCTTGAGAGTAATCTAAGAAAATAATATTTTAAATAATTGCATTCTGGTTCCTGAGGGACATCAGCATAATTGCATTGAGGATACCTTTATTTTGTATGCATTTATTTATTAAGAAAGAAGTACATTCCATCTGTAAACCAAGCAATTGGTCCACTGGCACAAAACAATAAAGCAATGAAACCTCTAGTTCATTAAATTGGAATATGGGGATTGAATTACTAATTTAGGTTGGTTTAAATTTCATGTTATAAATTATAGGATTCTAAGATGTAAGGGAAAAATGTTTCCCAAGATATTGACTACCTACAGTTCCAGCCAGGAGTATTTATATAAGACTCAATGGAGATGAAAGAGGCAGAGGTACTGAGAACCAAGACTGGCATGGTTCATCATTGGTGGGCACATCACAGAAGGCACAACTTAAAAAACCCCAAACAAACCAAGAGAACACAAACCCTTATTTAAACTGACAGTACTCTCTACAGGTTAGTTTTAAATATGGATAGTGTAAAATGCTGATTTCTGAAACTCTGCAATATGAAGGTCAGGTAACAGAAGACATGAACAATGAGAAACAGAGATGCTTCATAAACCTTTAGTGGCTTCATTTCATTCCTATGTTATCTCTCCTGCAATCCACTCTAGTGTTTTATTCAGTGTAATCTTTTATTCAAAACTTTGTTACGAATTTCAATCTGCTATTAAGCTTGATCATTTTAGCTTGATTTCTGTGTTTAGCAGTCTCTGGAGCTGCCTGTAGAAGCAAATGTAAAACCTGTAGAAGATAATATGTTCTCTTCAGAGTTACTATGTTGGCTGGATTCCTACTATTGGGATCTAGTCCTTTGATTTAGGAGTTGAAGTATGAACTGGCTTTTATTTCAGCCTTCAAGACCTCAGGCAAGTCACCTTCTGTGAACAGTGTGTGCCTCAGTGTTACCCTTCAAAACCTGCGTTCATTTCCTTCTTGAGTAACCCAAAGTGTTTCACAAAGGCTGCCCCCAGATTTTCTGGGGAAACATTAGCTAATCTTTCCCTTCCTGACAAAAAATGGGTAATCTAAGCCACCTGGATAGTAATCTGTAGTGAATATTCAGGAACTGACAATTGATTTAATGAATTTGAGATGATGTGATGTTTCCAACATTTCTGCAGTGGAACCACACTTACTATGAACTTAAACTGCCTCTCTCATTCTTCCAGTCTGTGGGGTATTGTTTGGAAACCAAATAAGCACAGCAGGGCATTTGTCTTTATTCTGTACCACATCTCACTTTTTGCAGGATTTTAAGGAAGTCTTTACAGTAAGTAGTTTACACATCTATGAAATAGCTTGTGACATGCTTGTTTCACAGTCTGGCTCAGGTGGAAGGTGCCATCGTGATGGGGCTGGTTGCCTGCTAGAAGTGTAGGCTTTCTTTGCAGAAAACTTACCAGTTATTTGATTACTCATTAGCGTATTTTGAGCCACCATTAATTCCAATACATAAAATAAAACATCAAGGTTCTTCCAGGTTAAAATTTGCACTTGCTTCATGGGAGAGGTGATTTCAGTCTCTTCTGTCCACAAGAAGTGTCCTGCTCTACTCCAGCTTGGAGTCAGGTGAAGGCTATGAGCCCTTAGGCGAGTCAGGTGAAGGCTATGAGCCCTCAGCCGAGTCAGCAAGAAGTGAGGCACTTTCTTCAGTACCAGCTCTCAGCTCAAAGCAAGGCCAGCTTGGATCAGGTTCCTCAGGGCTGCTTCTGTCAAGTTTTGAAAATCTCCAGTGGCAGGAATCTTGCACAGTCTCTCTGCCATACATGTTCGTGTTTTATTGTCCTAATGATGTTTTGGTTTTGTTTTTTTTTACTTTTAACAATATTTAATTGCAATATTCCTTATTGCAACTTGTTATCTATTATCTCCCATCCTGTCACTTGTGCACCTCTCAGAAGAGTCTGGTACACACTCTCTCTCTCTTTCTCTCTCTCTTTCTCTTTCTCTTTCTCTTTCTCTTTCTCTTTCTCTTTCTCTTTCTCTTTCTCTTTCTCTTTCTCTTTCTCTTTCTCTTTCTCTTTCTCTCTGTAGTTAAACTACTTCAGGCTGTGTTTGAGACCAGCTGAAGTTGTCTTAGTTTTGGTGAACCTTCTCTGTCCTGCAGAGCTTCAAAATTTTTTAAAAATAGTTTTCTGCCTTTAGTAGTTGGACTTTTATTTTTAGTATTTTGTTGAATCTCATTTAAACTTAATTGAACAGGATGAACTTCTGAGTAAGACTCAGGTTTTCTATTTCCAGCTCTGCAACGTGGGCACACTTGAGGTCTGCATGTTGTAGAATTTGGATTTGATAATCATCTTATTGAAAGCTGGTTTATGAAGGGCAGGCTTTTGCAGGTTGTACTTTTTCTTCAAAAAGTCATGACACACTGAGTGCATTATCTCACTGAAACTGTGGGTATGTCCCTTGAGGCAATGGCTGAACACCATAAATGTTGATTGTTTCCAAAGGCTTAGGGAGGCCCAGGGATCCTGAGCTCTAGTTTATGCTGATTGTCCAGAATGCATTTGAAGCTTATCTTTCTGTACCTCATTGACTCACATTATATAAGTGTTTGTATAATATGAAAACTGTAAATAGGAGAAAGGTGCCAATTTTCGCACATGAAACAGATTTCAGTGTGCTAAGACATTAATTTTTCATTACAGGTCTGTCCTTGCTATTCCTGAGTCCTACTAGGAGGCTGATACTAGAAGATTTTATGTGTACTTTGCTGGACAAGATATTATTTAAATAAGTTTAATTACTAACTATCTGTTTTGTTTCTGTGTGTTTCTTCTAGTGTTCTCAAACGGGAGATAATCTGATAAGAAGTGTATTTGCAGCACAGGTAAGACACACAACTGATTATATGTCGTTTTTGACAGTATTTATTGATGTGAAATTACCAATCTGCAGATCAGGAGAGCGAGGTCTGGTGCTCTAGAACTGCTAGGAAAATGAGAAATACGGAGTATACAGCATGTAACTGTATGTCATTCTAACGTTGACAGACCACTTCCAAGACATGAAACCATATTAGAGAAATGAGTCCTTTTTTCCATATCAGCCCTCTCTTGAATCTCTTCATTGAAACACAGACTTCCAGGTCTTTAAGTCATCCTCACATGCCATATGGAGTTCAAGCTGTTGCTTCCTCAGCTACAGTTGCTTCCTCAGCTACAGAATTCCCTTCTCTCTTCTGTAGACATGTACACTCCTCCAATACCCAGTCAGTTGTCTCCTGCCATAGAGAAGTGTAAAAGATGTTTTCTTCTCCTGCTGTGAGAAAAAATAAGGGGGTGGATTTATTACATTATTTGAAAGGGGTTGTTCCTCTGATCTGGGAGTAATGAGGAAAATTGCTTGAAAAGTAAAGGAAAGAGCTTGCATTTCTCTTTATTGTGTAATAGAAAATACTTTTCTGAAGTATGTTACAGAGTTATGTACTTTGGAGGTGTGTCTGTGAAGAAATAAGTAGCTGATCATACCATAAGTTTGACTTTAAATGAAACAACAAAACTGAATTGATAAATATTGCCTGAGAGTTTTCCCTCTCACTGATTCTTGACAACAGCATATTATCAGATTAGGAGTATTTTAATATCAGAATAAATTATTGACAATTCATACTGGACTCTGTGCTCCAAGGAGCTTCCACTGACCTCAGTCAGATGCAGCCCACCTGGGAGGACCCTGTTACTTAGCTTCTCCTAATTATGTGTATTAATTCTCTTATGAGTGTCACATGCAAACCACAGCTCCCATTATCTTTTCCCTTTTCTCACATCATCCTTCTTGTCTGGCCAATTTCTGACTTTCTCCATTGCTGCTTTGAAGTGGGTTTGCTCTTTTCAGCTCCAGCACAGGCATTTCTGCATATGCAGCTCCCAGCTGTGTTCCACAGATGCCTGTGAAGACCAACAAAGCATTACTGTCTATAGCACAAGGTATTTGAGAATGCATCTGGAAAAGGGAGATATCAGTTGCCTGGTACCAAGGAACCCACTGTGGATGAAGAGCTTTTGTAAGGAATTGTGTCAAGAGGACAAAATATCTGTCCATTTTAAGTTGTGCTTTTTGTTGTTGTTGTTGTTGTTTTTACTTTGCCCTGACAAAGTAGGAGTTTTAAGCCCACTGCTGGGACATCAGTTACTTCTTGTCTGAGGTATAGTATTTAATATAGAACTATAGTATTGTGGACAGGTTGTGAAGGGGCTCAGTGCTGTGAATTTGGTTTTCCAGCCATGGAAGTGGACTCTCTGCTATCCCACATATTTTGCTTAGGGTTCTTTTGTTCTCTACCTGTCATCTGTTGGTGACAGAATGGAGTTCAGTTTTCACAGAATCACAGAATTTGCTGAGTTTCAAGGCACCCACAAGGATCATTGAGTCTCAACTCTTAGCCCTGCACAGAACTATCCCCAAGAGTCACACCATGTGTTTTGACAGATGAGATTCAGGACAGGAGACTGTTTCTCAAGTAGGAGAGATCTGTGGGCATTTGCTGTCCCTGAGGCTGCTTCTGTGCTGCCTACTCTGCCTCTGGGCCACATATGTAGTGTGAGTCCCCTGAATCTGTCGGGACTCTGTTTGTCTCTTAAACTCTGTCACAGACTACGTGCTGGCTATATCTGATCTGTTAGGCTTCAGACATCCATCAGTTCAGACAGGGTCCTCTTTTGTTGCTCACACTGGTTTGTATGGCAGGTTTCAGGGCATCAGAATTGTCATTCAGATGACTGGACTTAGTATCAAAATACAGGTGAAGCACTGTAAATTAAGAATACTGGCAGCTAAGAACAAAAAGTGAAAGTAAGGAGAAGATATTGCAAGCATTACTTTAGAATGAGGGGAAAATTGCTTTATGGGCTGAGTGGCCAACATTAGGGTAGGAAGGAGATTTAAAAAGTTTGATGTGATGCACACAAGGATAGTTCTTAAAAACTTAAAAGAAGAAGTAATTTGTGCCATAGCACACCTAAAACAGATTGTTTCAGAACACCTAAAAAAGGTTGCACCCTTTTGCATGTTGGGAGTAACATTATATATTCAGGACCTTTTTTCCCCTGAGAATCTTAAACATAAAACACTGTTCTGCACACTTGTTTTTTATAAAGACTGGATTTAGAAGGGATGTGGGGCACTGGATGTCCTTTTTTCTATGTTGATATTGTGGGAGCTGCAGTTCTAGTTTTGCTTTGACCCCTTGTAAACGATACCAGCATAATGCTGTTCAGCCAAAAAACAGCCGTTGCATTTGTCCTCTTTCAGCACATTGGACAAGTGGGAGTAAAGCAGACAATAGTTTTCTCTCCCTCACATTTTTAAAAATGCATTTGATAGCCTCAGTGTTATAGTCAGGAAAGTCAGCCCTCTGGTTCTATCACTTCTGTTAAATGGCTCTGCTTTAGACTGACTGGCAGTAGGCTTTTTTCTCCTCACCAGGAACTCCTCAGTCATCAAAGGCTCCTTCTTTGGTCTCACCACAATCATTGTGACAGTTCCAGGTAAGAGTGTTTGGCAGGGATAGCTCAAGGGTCCATTCTTTTCAGAATGTTTACTTTACCTGACATGTCTTTCCTGGGTGCCACAGTGATTAGTCATCTGTATATATTAAGGGAAGCTAAGGAATACTATTCTTCCATAGAAGAAACAACTAGGGGGGTATATAATAAAAATAAAAGTAAAACCCCCTCAGCACTGAAGATGATGTGCTGGGAGAGAATTAAAACAAGTTGCACAGCAAGCAAAACACTGTGTAGAACAGTGTATGCATGTGTATTGTAGGTAGGGCAGAGAATATTGACTGTCATCAGGATTGCCTGAAAATCCTCACTTATAAATTGCTGTAAACAGGATTTTTTAAATTAATTTCTTCACAAACTGTAACCGTTTGGATTGATAATTTCCATTTTAGGCTTCCTCCTGGGGCAAAACATTTGGAAAGACTATAATCAACATTATTTGGCTGTTTCTGAAAAGGAAGTGAATATGTATTGCTCTGTATAAAATTTTGAGCATTTTTTCTCCTCCTCAATTGCATCTTTCTTTTGTTATTTTACTATATCATCAAAATCTTCTGTCAAAATGGGATCTTCTTTCCTTGAAGGTTCCTGTTGAGAGAGATGCTATTGTTGCCTTATTCCATGAGCTGAAATGATAGAGATCTGTACAGTGACTCTAAATATTGCTAGTGATGCTGTTGAGCCACAGGCTTATCAGTAGGATTCCATGCTATGGTGTTCAGAGCTGGATAGCTATGAATTTTTAGAAACATGGTAATTTATAAATAAAAACTGAGATTAGGAGTTGAGAGTTTAAAATCAGGATGAAATCTGCTGGATAATGCAAGTATAATTCAATGAGCAGTTCAAATATTTTGTTCAAGTACTTCAAATCCAGTATTTTATTTTTTTGCTCTTTGGTTAAGTGTGTGCCTTCAGGGCCTTTTTACTGCATGCTTTTCAAAACTTGCTCCAGAGACAGAATTATTAATTTCCTCTCAGGTTTCTGCATAGCACTCAACACTACAGTGCTTCAGAAGCCATTAATGAAGTTATTTTCACAACACCCTGGTGAAAAGAGGAGGAATTATTGTCCTCATTTGACAGGTGGAGACTGGGACACAGTAAATCAAGGTTGAAAGTACCTCCTAATTTGGGAATCCAGTTTGAGGCATCCTGCTCCTATCTTTTCCAGAATATTGAAGGTTGGGTAGTAAGCTGAAAGCACAGCTCCCTTTAACTTCAGCTGCACTCCTGGTGATCAGCACTTGAACAAGGCAGACCCCAAGTTTCAAGCTGGGCATGGAGCACATGAGGAACATTTAGTTGATAGATGACCTTGTGTGAAAAGCTTGGTTTTAAGAAATTTGTCCTGTATCTCATAGACTGTCTTATGACAAAAACAGATGCAGACTCCAAACTCCTTGGGGTGACTTTGGAACTACCTTAGGTAGGAGACTCTTTTTTTTTTTTCCTTTCTTCCTGCATTCCTCACTCATTACGTAAGTCTGAATGTCAACAATGCATGGGACAGCCCTTCTCATCCTCAGGCAGCAGCCTTCTGCCCTGCACTGAGTCATCTCACAGACAAGTCCCTGCCATACACTGCATAAAACAGTGACCTTGAGGAAAACTCAGTTTGTGATTATGTAAATATACTGGGTTTGGCTGGTATAGAGTTAATTTTCTTCACAGTAGCTGATATGGGATTAGTTGCATGATGTGTTTAACCGAATGCCAAACTCTTGTCCTGTCTGATCACAAACACTGAAGTTTGAGGTGTGTCACCGGAGAGAACTATGGAGTACTGAGATAGTGAGCATACTGTCATAAAATGGCTCTGCATGTATTTGCATAGGCAGATAAAGTATGAACAGTGATGATTACTGCCTAACTGTACTGATTTCCTCCCGTTCCCCACCTCTTGTCCCTTGTTGTATACCTAGATCCCAAATATTGTAGAGTAGGGACTACTATGTTTTGCTTGTATAGAACTTAGTGGTCTTGATCAAGGGACTGCGTTGTTTTGGTAGAGTTCCTCTTTGTTCCCGTTATTCATCTGAAAAAAGTATTTGCTAATGTAGACTGTCCTCTGTGGACCTCAGAGGTTGTGATCACTGACAGTTTGCTATGGGTGTTGTCCACCTAGGATGCTGAAGGGAGAATTGCGATTTGTTCACTACCTTTTATTTCTCTTAAGTGAATTTAATGTGTTATATACTTTTCAATTTACTAAAGTGCTAGTAGTTTATTAAAAAAGAACATTAAATTGACTGGTATACCTATATCACAGGACTGTTTTGAAGATTAATAATTAGATAATGTTTATAAAGCACTTTTTATA